AAACCCAGGCCCCACCACGATTTCAAAATCGAGCGCCCCTGTGCCTTTGGTTTTTTTAAGAATGCTCTGCTAGATCAGAATTCAAAACAATCTGCTACCGTGCCCCTGCGATTTTTTATATAAAACAAAAAAAAAAACAAAAAAAAAAAAAAAAAAACTTTCCATGGAAATTCTGCCAGCGGGCCTTTGGCGCCACACGCCAAAATCACTCGGGGCGCCCCCGCGCGCGCGCTGTGCGGGCACGACCCGCGCCAAATAATACCGCGCGCGCGCGGCCGCGCGCACATATCGAACTCCTTCCAAAACCTTCATCAGCGACGCGACGACGCCGTCATCGTCGTCGGCGTGATCAGCATGGGCGCCGTCATTGGCCGCGCCGTCGTTGCCACCATCGCCAGCAGCATCGCCACATATCATCGCGTCCACCGCTGTCGGCGCCACCACGACGCCGCGCCCGCCCAAGTCGCCGACTCGCACTGAGGCGCCCGCTCGGGCGCGCCGAGCAGTTAGCGCCACTGCGGCCGCGTCGTTCGCGCAAAACTAGCTGGCCGCTGCACGCGCGGGCACGCGCGGGCTAGCGCGGCCGCAAAGATGCACCAGCCAACACCAAGTACTCATCGCAATCGCCTCCGCATGGAATTTTCAAATCAAGTTGCGGGCGGCATTTTGTTTAAAACATAACCCATATACATATAGATCACAATAGATACAGATACGTTTATGTGTGTATATATATATATAATCCTCTTCCCATATTTTTATAAGCCCGGGCGGGGGGAAAACCACACACACACACACACCAAAACCAGACTCTCGGGATCTGGGGCTTTGGGACCCTCCGGACGGGCCTCGAAGCGGCCCCCCGGGCCTCGCAGGGCGTTTTGCCAAGCCTCCCCAGCACACCTAGGGCGATCGGGGGGGTCATCGGAGACGTCCCAGAAGCCCCCAAGACAGCACAAAAACGCTCCAAGAGTGATGGCCCAAGCGGCCTCCAGGACGGCCCCAAAGAGGCCTCCAAGAGCACTCCAAAAAAAGGCCCCAAGAGGCAAAAATCATGAATGTTTTGTTGGTTTGGGGTGATTTGGGGGGGGGTTCTTTTCGGCTTCCCGACGCTACAAGACGGCGGTATCCTGGGCGTCCTAAGCCGCCTGGGACGCCCCACGATCGCGCCACAACCATCCGAAAGGGCTTCCGGGCAGTCCAAGAGAGCCCCAAAACGGCACAACACGGGTCCAAGATGGCCCTCAGAAAGCCCCGTGGCGGCCCTAGGTGGCCCCAACACACCCTCCGAAGCATTCCATATCGTGACCCAGTCGTTCAGGGAAACCGCGGTTGGAGGCAGGGTGGCCCAAGGAAGCCCCCAGAGGCCGCCAGAATACGCCCAGGAGGCCTCCAGAAGGCGTTAAGAAAGCCTGAAACAACTTTTGTGAGGCCCCCAGAGGCTCTCCAAGGAGGAACCTCCGCAAAAAAGAGCTGAGCAGGATGGGGACAATGCGAAGGGTATGGCGAAAATGAGGAGAAGAAGCATGGAGGAAAGATGACAGATGACATGATCATAGCGGCGATGTCCGAAAAGGCAACAATGAGTTATCGCGAAACTGTCGGCTTGACCTCCCTGCTATTCCGCCTGCATACCAAGCTGCAAAGACCAACGTGCATGGCGCGCAGCGCCACTGCAGTCTTGTGTGTATACCTATATATATGTGTATGTATGTTTGTGTGTATGTATGTATGTGAGTAAGTAAGTAAGTAAGTAAGTATGTAAGTAAGTAAGTAAGTAAGTAAGTAAGTAAGTAAGTATGTATGTATGTATGTATGTATGTATGTATGTATGTATGTGTGTATGTGTGTATGTATGTATGTATGTGTGTGTATATATGTGTGTATGTATGTATGTATTATTGTCTTGTATTGCATGTATGTTTGTTATGTATTTGTGTATGTCTGTGTGTATGGGATGTATGATGTATGTATGGATGTTTGTTTGTATGTTTGCAAGAGCCCCACGCTTAGCATACTGGGATGAAGCTTCAAATCGTTAAAACACATGATTGTCGTCGTCGACAATGCTACCAAACAAGCCTCTCGCGCGGGCATGTCGGAATCGCTCGAACTCCCCCACGCGCGCAGTGTCGCGAAAATCGTTGTTCAATACAATACGAAGTGCACGCGAGCGCGTCGTCGCGCGCGCATGCCGAAATCTTTCACAAAACCTTAGGCGCCGTAAAGATTTCAAAATCGAGCGCCCCGAACACATGAAAACGCATGGTTTGTAACATCCCATTTTCTGCAAAAGAAGAAGAAGCTGCGCTCGCGCTCGCGCGAAAGCTTGAGAGAACCATAGGCTTTCAACCTGCTCATAAACTCTGCCAAACCGGCCTATCGCACCGCATGTCGAAATCATTCGCACGCCCTTGCGCGCGTGCCTGGGGGGGCACGATCTGCATCAAATAATCCCACCAGCCCTTTAGGGCGTCGGTGGTTTAACGAGTTTCCTCTTCCACCCCTCCTTCTTCCCCTTCGGGGAGGGGTTTACCCCTCCCCCTACCCCCTCCCCACTGACCTGGACAGGGGGGGCCGCGATCGGTCAGAGCGTCCAAGATCGACCCCTGGGAGGGCTAAAATTCGACACCCCTCACGAGGATCGTGGCTCCTGAGGGGGGGGCTGAAATTTAGGAACCCCCTTCGTTGATCGATCTCCTCCAAGATGGCTCCGAGAGACGTCTTGGACCCCCTCTTGGGCCCTGCGCGCGGGCGGGCGGAGCGCCGCCCGCCCGCCCGCAAGGCCCAAGAGCCCACCAAAACGTTCGAAGATACTTCCAAGACGCCACCAGGGAAGAGGAAGATGAGGAGGAAGAGGAGGAGGAGGAGGAGGAGGAGCAGGAGGTGAGGGAGGAGGAGGAGAAAAGGAGGAGAAGGCGGAGGAGGAGGAAGAGGGGGAGGAGAACAGCTGCCGATCATCGGCGCTCTTCGTTCGAGCGCCTGGTGTAGGATGGGCTGGTGGGGATATTTTTTTACAGCCGCAGGCGGAAGCGCCAGCGGCGGGAGGTCGCGGGCGGGCTACGGCCGCGACTAAAATGCCGAACGTGCGCGGGGGCCGCGGATCAGGCGGCGGGGGGGGGCAGCGCCCAGGGCGGCAGAGCCAGGCTGGTGGGGATACGCGAAGCGTCAAGAATTCCTTGCAAGCCACTCTCGCGCGTCGGCCGCGCGCGGACGTCGAAATCTTGCAAAAGTCTGCGTCACCCGCGCGACGACATCGCAATCGCAATCGGCATAATCACCATCGGCGCCGTCAGTAGTCTCGCCGCCCTCATCGTCATGATCGCCATCATCATCGCTACTACCATAATCGCGTATACTTTTGCCGACGTCGCCATGATACCGCGCCCGCCCAAATCACCGACCCGCACTGAGGTGGCCACTGGGAAGTGTCCAGCGGTCAGCGCCACCGCGGCCGCATCGGACGCACCAAACTAGCTGGCCGTTGCGCGCGCGAGCATGCGCGGGCAAGCGCGGCCGCAGAGATGCACCAGCCAACACCAAGCACTCATCGCAATCACCGCCGCGTGGGTTTTGCAAACCAAGTTATTTCGGCGGGTGGGTGGGATGATTGTGCGAGCAGTGGAGTTGACAACCCACTGCGGACAGAAATCAATGGCACAACATCAGTTTCACCACAAATCTTATCCTTCCTTAAAAATATATGTTCTACCACCCCCCCCCCCGGACTTAACGATCCACCTTTGCGTAATGCAATTTACATACGATTCTGCCCCTTTCATCCTTCCTAAATATGAATTTACATTATCCCTGGGGAACCGGTATCGCCCCCCCGCCACTCTCTGCAAAAAAGTACTATGCGCGCACACTGGTTTATCCAAGATCAAAAGTTATCCAGAATCCCTCACACAATGAGGGACGAAGTGCACACGCGCGCGTCGTCGCCTCCCTCCTCCCTCGTCGTCGTCGTCGTCGCCGTCGTCGTCCTCTGTCTTTCCTCGTCGTCGTCGTCGTCGTCCTCTTTGCCGTCGTCGTCGCTTCCGTCGTCGTTGTCGCCGTGGTCGTCCTTCCTCCTCCCTCGTCGTCGTCGTCGTCGTCCGTCGTCGGCGTCTCGTCGTCGTCCCTCCTATTTCGTCGCCGTCGTCGTCGTCGTCGTCGTCTTCCCTCCTCCCTCGTCGTTGTCGTCGTCGGCGTCGCCGTCCTCCCTCCTTCTTCGTCGTTCGCGTCGTCGCCGTCCTCCCTCCTCCCTCGTCGTCGTCGTCGTTGTCGCCGTCGTCGTCCTCCCTCATCCCTCGTCGTCGTCGTCGTAATTCGTTGGCGACGTCGTCGTCGTCGTCTTCGTCGTCGTCGTCATCGGCGTCGTCGTCGTCGTCGTCGGCGTCGTCGTCGTCGGCGTCGTCGTCGTCGTCGTCGGCGTCGGCGTCGGCGTCGTCGTCGTCGGTGTCGTCTTCGTCGTCGCTGTCGTCGTCGTCGAAATCGTCGGAGACGTCGTCGGTGTCGTCGCAGTCGTCGTCGGCGTCGACATTGTAGCTGTCGTCGTCGGCGTCGGTGTCGTTGCCAAGTGCCATTTGGTACCTACCGTCACGGTCTTAAGAGGTTTTGCAAACCAAGTTGCGGGTGAGTGGGTGGGATGTTTGCAAGAGCATGGGATGTGTCAAATCATGGGTACAAATCAATTGCACAACATAGATTTCACCACACATATTGCACCACATAGCTTCTACAAAACATAGATTGCACCAAACATAGACTGCACAAAACAGAAGTTACACACAACACAGACAGCAAAAACATAGGTTGCACCACATATAGACTGCACAACATAAATTGCTAGCAACACAGTGTTTGTGGTCAGCGCTGGCTAACGTATAGACAAGGTGTAAATCATTCGTTTCCCTCCTCCAGTGTTTGAAAGATGCTTCGCCCCACTCCCTCACATTCCTACATTTGTTTTTCTCTCTCTCTCTTTCTCTGTTTTCCCTCCTTCTCGCCCCGGCACGCCTCTTGGCGCTTCTTCTCCTCCTCAAGGGCCTGGTCGGCAACCGCCTTCGCCTCCTGCGCGTGTTCCTGCCAAGGGCCGGAGGACAGCGCCGGGGGAAGACCAGGATAATGGGACCTCATCGCGTTTTCCCCCTTTTCCACCTCCTTTTCCTCCTCCTTTTCCTCCTCCTCCTCCTCCTCTCCATTTCCTCCCCTTCCTCCTCCCCCCCCCCTCTCCTCCTCCTCCACCTCCTCCTCTCCTCCTCCCCTCCTCCTCCCTCCTCCTCCTCCTCCTCCTCCCCCTCCTCCCTCCTCCTCCCTCCTCCTCCCCTCTCCTCCTCCTCCTCCTTCTCTCCCTCGTCTCCTCCACCTCCTCCTCCTCCTCCTCCTCCTCCTCCTCTCCTCCCTCCTCCTCCTCCTACTCCTCCTTCCTCCTCCTCCTCTCCTCCTCCTTTTCCTCCTCCTCCTCCTGCTCCTCCTCCTCCTCCTCGTCATCGTCCTCCTCCTCCTGCTCCTTTTCCTCCTCCTCCTCCTCCTCATCATCATCATCCTCATCCTCATCCTCCTACTCCTACTCCTACTCCTACTCCTACTACTCCTCCTCCCCTTCCTCATCCTCGTCCTCCTCCCATCCTTTTCCGTCAAAGTATTTGTTCCATTCGCGCCCCGAAGCCAGTTTTTAAGGTGGGCCCGGCGTTTCGCCTGAGATTTCCTCACCACGAATGATTCTGAAGCTTCAACATCGGCAACAATGTCACACATGGTCTGCGGGTGGTTATCGAAATGTGGCTCTCGCCTTGGCACCGCGCACATTTGCGTTAGAAATGTACATGAGCTCCACGGATTGACGGCGACGCGTTTTCAAAATGTGGTTGTCGCCTCAGCGCCGCGCGCATTCGTTTTAAAAGTTCGCATAAGTTTCACGGATTGAAAACAACCCGTTTTCAAAATGTGATTATCGCCCTAGCGACGCGCACATTCGTTTGAGCAATTTGCATAAGCGTCACGGATTGAGAGGGGCTCCTTCTCACAGTGTGGTTCTTGCCTTAGCGCCGCGCAAACTCGTTTATAACAGTTGCCCGAATTTCACCATTTCCCATGATCAACGTACCAGAAACGGTGTTTTCGAGGGGGTCCGGATTTTGCGGGTGAAACAAGTCCGTTGGTTCGCGGTGTTGAAATCCCAAAAACGGCGCTCTGGCACGATCCAGGATCGTCAAGACGATACTGTCAAGTTGATCCGTGGCGTTGGAATCCCGAGAACACTTGTTTGACATGCTTCAGGGTATTCAAACGGTTGTCCTACAACGAGGCAGTTCCCTCCATGGAAACGAACCGCTGTAGGGCCGATAAAGCGGGAGCTTAAAGTGAAGGTGTATTACAACATCGTTACTAGTTCCGGATTACAGTGGTCCTCCTCATCATCCTCCTCATCCTTCTCTTCCTCCTCCTCCTCCTCCAACACCTCCACCTCCTCCTCCTCCTCCTCCTCCTCCTCGTCCTCCCCCCCCCTCCTCCTCCTCCTCCTCCTCCTCCTCCTCCTCCATACATACATACAGGGCACCTAGAGGCGACCCAATCCATGATCGGAGCCCCCCCACCTGTCGCTGGGGAATAAAAGGAAGCTGACTCGCCCCAAGGTGCACCCGCGAGCCCAGAGGGCAGGGCGCTCAGCCGAAGGGGCGACACAGCAAGAAAAGCAAAAGAACGGCGCATGCGAGCGCCAAAACAAACGCGCCAGGAGGTCCCCCCCCCGGCAGGGGCAGAGCCATCTTGGGGCAGCCCCAACAACTGACCGATTGCCCGTCGTCTCCCAGCAAGAGGGGCCCCGCGGGCGGGCGGGCGAGCACGGCGCCGCACGCGAGCCGCAGCTCCGCGGACGGGCGCCTGCGCCACAGCGCCGCACGAACGATGGAGCGCCCGCGCCCGCTCGGGCGCCCACGAGCCAAAACAGCTTGAGCCAGGACGACCCCCCCGCCCTCTGCGAATGTTTCAGCTAGCGCGGGCGCCTGCTGAGAGCAGCGGGGAAGCGCCTGACCTCGCTGGGCCGTGCCTGGCGAAAGTATCGGGCCAAGGCTCGGGCATCGCCGGGCCGTGCCTGGAGAAATTCTGGGGCAGGTTGCGCGGGTCATCGCGGGCCGACAATGAAAGGGACCACCTGTCAGTCCGAGCCCTCTTCCAGCTCTGCCCTCGATCTGCGGGCCGCGCCACCCGGGCCGCGCGCGAGCCCAATTCGCGAGCGAAGAACCGCGGACGGGCGATCGATCAGAGCTCCGCACACGAGCCGTAGCTCCGCGGACAAGCGCCCTACCATGTTCCCGCGAGCTGGGGCGCGTGGCCCAGCAGGAAGAAACACACTAAACGCAAATGCAAATACACGCCGCAAGGCAAGCAAAAGCAAACGCGCGCGCCAGACCATGCGAGCTGGGAGACCTCCCCCCACAGGGGCAGCGCCATCGGGGCCATACTTGGGGCAACCCCAGCAATGGACCGATTGTCCGCGGCCTCCCAGCCGCCCACGAAAGTAAAATCAAGATCCTGCGATCTGGGGCACGCGGCCCATGGAGGAGGCGTCTCGGCGATGGCTCGAAGACCCCCCGCCCCCCTGCCAGCTGGGGCACGTGGCCCAGCAACTCGACATACATCAGGCGCAAACGCACATAAATTCCGCAAGGCAAGCAAAAGCAAATGCGCGCGCCAGACCTTGCAAGCTGGGAGACCGCCCCCACAAGGGCAGCGCCATCGGGGCCATACCCGGGGCAACCCCAGCAACGGGCCGACCGCCTGCGGCCCCCCAGCCGCCCGCGAAAGTTCAATCGAGATGCTGCGACCTGGGGCACGCGGCCCAGATGGGAAGTGTCTCGGCGATTGCTCGATGACCCCCCAGGGTTTAGAAAGGCGAACCCCCTCGGGGCAGGACAACGCCCCATTGCGCAGCATCCTTAATTGAGCAGTCTCGCGGGTCGCACACGGAACGTCCAGCTGAACAGCGCGATCACGTCGTGCCACGGGCCACAACGCTTGCAAAGCAGGACCTGGGCCCCTGTTAAAGTGATTCCGCCTGCCCACAGGTCGCGGGGCGGTTAGACTTGGGCAGGAGGGCGCAGGACAGCTGCAAGAGGTCTGGGAAGGGGCGCGCAGGGGCCACGCCTGCACCGCCAGGGCTGCGAGGTCGAGCGACGGCGGTCCACGCGCTGCCAGGCATTTAAACCCCGCGCGAAGTTGCGGAAGCCATGCGGGCCCCTGCCCATGCATTTCCTCCGCGGGGCCCTCGGGGTCTCTCCCCAGCTCGCCAGAAACATCGCGAGCTCGGCCCCGGGGCCCCTGGAAGTGACCCGGTCTTGGCGTGCTCTGATCTCATACGTGACCCAACCCCGCATGTTCGCGCGATAGTGCATCTGCCTCCAGCGCTCAGCCCGGGGGGCCCTGCCATCTCTAGACCGAACAGCAGCTGAGGTCCCATGCACCACTGCACTGCAGTCATGAAAAAATGCGCTGGCTCGACTTCTGCAGGGACATGCTGATGAGCACAGGCTGGCAGTAGACCACGGTGCTCAGCCAGGCCGGCATGGCACGAAACATAGGACGGCAAGACACCTCGAATACATCCTCAGGACGAATATTTGTCCCTCTCGGGCCCGGAACGACGGTTTGAAGTCTCGAGCAAATGCGCATGAGATAAACGCCGTCGGATCCCATAAAGTTCGCGCGGGTCCAAATCTCCAGAAGGCGCCGGGGGGGGCGTGCTACGTCCAAGACGCAGGCGCAGTGGAGCGGCGCGCACGGGGCTCGCGGGGGCGCCCGGCCCAAGGGCAACGGGGGACGAACCCGGGGAAGGAGGGAAAGGGCGAAGCCAAGAGCGGGACAAAGCCGCAGGGAAGCAAGGACGAGGGAGGAGGAGCCAGCCGGCGGGGAAGAAGAAGGATGAGGGAATCCTCATTTTCCCCCTCCTCCTCCTCCTCCTCCTCCTCCTCCTCCTCCTCCTCCTCCTCCTCCTCCTCCTCCTCCTCCTCTTCCCTCCCTCCCTCCCTCAACGCCTCCCTCGTTCAACCCTCTGGGCGGTGAGCTGGGACGGGGGGGGGCCGTCCACCGCCGGCGCCTCCTCCAGCCGCTTCTCCTCCGCCTCCCGTTCGGCGGCCTCCTTCCGGATCAGGTCGTGTTCCTGACGCGCTGGGCTGGCCCCTCGCACCTTCCGAAGGGGAGGAGGAAAGGAGGGGGAGGAGGAGGAGGAGGAAGAGGAGGAGGAGGAGGAGGAGGAGGAGGCGAGGAGGAGGAGGAGGAGAGCAGGAGGACGACGACGTCGACGAAGACGACGACGACGATGACGGCGAGGAATGAGTCAGAATGGCTTTGGTTCTGCATTGGGAATCGATGAAAGAACGCGCACCCCACTCCACTCGGCGAGTCGACCCAGAGCAAGCTGGAAACAAGAACACGGGTCAAACAAATTCACTGCCAAAGCGCTGCGAGCATGGATGGCCGCACAGTGAAAGTGAGCTGCGCCACCCTCCCCTTCCTCTCATGAGTCCACCCGTCCCATCATCAGCATCACGTAAGACGACCCTTCAGCCACACTGCGAGGGGGGCACAAGGGTGCAAAACAGTTTCCGACACAAAGGGGACTATGAATACGGCGGTGGTGGTAAACACCTTTCACCTGAATACAGGAAGGCGCAATGCGCGAGGTGCGGACGGAAACGCCGCAGGCCCCCGTAACCCGAGCCAAAAGGCCATGAAAAACGGAGACAATCAAAAAAAGGCAAGACAGGCAGAGAGCAGGGAACCATGGGAGACCTACCCTTCGAGTCCGGCGCTCAAAAGCCTGCTTAGGCAGGCCCCACGAGGTTCGGACTTCACCCACCCTCCGGAGGCACATTGGCCCATCAATGGCGCCAGCCGCAAACGACCGCCAGGGCGCCCGCGGGGTGGGGCGGGGGCGCCCCCGAAGACCCCCACGGGACTAGTCGAAGCTGGCAAAGGAACCCCCCGCAATGAACAGGAGGAACGGAGGCAGCAGAGAATTGGAAGAGCACAGCAAATCATTACGCGCCCACGACAAGCGCCGCTGCCCCACGAACGCACTTGGCAAAGACAGCCCCTCACGGAAGACTCACTGACTCGCATTTGCAAAAACAGCTCGCCTATGCGGCTGTCTCCGCGAAGTTTTGCCACGTCGCACTTTCCGAACACAGTTCGCCTACGCCGTTGCCTCCGCCAACCCCCCACGTCGCATACGCGAACGCAGTTCGCGAGATGCGACCGCTGATGAGGTGCCCTGTAGCCGGGGTGCACGCAGTGACACAGCAGGCTGCTCATCCAGTAGGTGACGCACTTCGCTCCGCCGCTCTGGGGTCGCTGCGCTGGGCGCGGTATCATTGCGCCTCTGACCGCGGGGCGTTCGCACTTGCACTTCCCGCACATCACATCCAATATCAATTTCCAGCCGATGCTCCTTAGTCATGGGGCGGGCCCTCATGTCTCGAGCAACGCACCAGAGCGCATCGGCGAGCTGCCTGGCACGGAGCTCGTCAGAGAGCCACCACAGGTGACATGCCTTGCTGCACTCTGACGGTGGACGCACAGGGCCCACGGCGACGGCCGCGAAGACAGACTTGCCGTCCACGACCAGGGTTGCAAGGATAGCGTAACCCATGCACCCCCCAGCCCCCTGATCTCTCCGGCTGAGACTGGGCCCCGGATCATCTCGTGGAGCGCGAGGAGGCAGGCCTGCAAAACGTCAGCTGCACCGCGCGCCGCGAGCAGTTCAGAGCCAGAGGAAGACCTACACAAAAGCTTGCGCGATCGGCCCACGGCATCAAGCAAGTGGCAGACCTCCTCGCTGCTGCTGCGACACATATCGAGGCGCATGTAGATGGCGCCTCGCATGACGCATCCTGTCCTCTCCCCCCTCGCGAAGGCCGCGTCGATGCGCGCGCAGATCTGGCCAGCGCGCCCCACGGCGGGAAACGCGACGCGCGCCATGATCTCCTGCATGGCGAGGACCACAGAATTGAGCTGCAGAACGCGCGGTGTAGTCAATTCGTTCTTGGCCCGTGGCAGCGCCACGACTCGCGCTGCAACGCGGCGCGGGGTGGGCAGGCCACAAGCAGCTCCTCCCAGCAAGGAGACGAAGGTCGGGTGGTTGACCTCCTGCGGGATCGTCGGCATTCGCCTTGACCAGGTCGACATGCTTGTTCGGTATCTAGGCGTCGATGCACTCGTCCTGGTCGAGCGTCGCGGCCACGTCGGGGCCGCGGCGCCGGTGGAAACCACAGTTGGTGAAGTCGTCTCAGTCGCCCTTCATCTCGCCGAAGACGCTGTGCTTATCGACGCGCTGCATGTGTTCAGCGATCTTCAAATCGCGAACGCGCTGGGACAACGCGAGCACGAGCCGCGAGTCGCCAGCAAGAAAATTGCCGAACGCCTCACGCTTGACATCGAGCTCTGGGCCCCGCCCTGCGGGTTTGGCGCTGCACTCAGGAGAGGGCGAGCCCCGGCGAATTGCATGGAGAAGTCTCGGGGCGCGCCCTTGCAGCCCGTGCCCGGCACGATGCAGCGCGGGACTCGCAGCCGGGCACCCGCCCGAGGATAGCTGCGTTGCTGCGGCAGGGTGACGTTCACCTCGCGCGGCGCGTCGCCTGGCCCCTGCATCTCGGCATGCGCCATGCCCTGCGGGGGGGCCTTCTCGACGCCCACGGCCACGTAGACCCAGTCTGGGCGGCGCGCCGCCACCGAGAAGATGACGCGCTGCGAGGCGCGCCTGGCTGCCCCCGCGAACGTCTCCAGGGCGCCAGCGCCCATGTCGCGAAATACTTTGAACGCCGCGCGGCACGGGATGATCCGCGCGGTCTTGCCGCCGGGACCCATCTTGTGCCCCCACTTGAACGCGGGCCTGGAGTCCGCGACGCTTCGGGCGCCCTCGACTGGCCACCATTCGAAACACGTGTACTTGACCAGGATTGTAAGCTCCTCGAGGATAGCGGCGAACACCTCCTCGGACAGCCTGGACACCTCTTCCTCAATCAAGAAACCGGCGCCGCGCCCGATGACCGAGGACTTGACGGCAGCGCAAACGTTAAGCAAGCACGGATGCGTAGAAAGCGCCGGCAACTCGGTCACTGGACGCTTCCTCGCGTCGAAGCTCAGGAATGCTTCGCGCGCGCCTGGTCCGAGGTACAACTCCGCGCGTCTTCCTCGTTCGCCCCCCCCCCTCAAGTGCGGCGTAGTCGCCCGGGGCGGCGCCGCGCAGACACGAGTGGCACTGCGCATATCTGCTCTGACGCTGGCCTTGCGTCTCCAGGCGCTGGGGCCACCCCGTGGCCCCTGGCCACGTCAGGCTGCAGCGTGCTCGACAGCAGCGTAGATCATCTGCTGGCTGTCGTTGCTCTCAAGCGCCTCCAACTCCAAGATTGAGTCCACTGCCCAATTCGACTTCATGCCGCGCTACCAACGTCGCCTGCTGGATGTGGCCGGAGAAGTCGGCACCAGTCTCTTCGGGCATGGCCGACAGCGCTGGCGGCGATCCCCCCACAGCGGCGCTGGCAACGTCGCCAGGAGCGCCGATGCCATTAGCGTCTCGTTATCCAGGATGAACTGCATGCTGCGAGCGCCCTTCCACTGATCGACGATGAGCGCGCGGTCGTCGAACTTGACGCCGCCCACGTGGATTTGCAAGATATCACCCAGACCCAAGGTGCCGCCAGATGACCAGGCTGCGCGCGCAGGCCGGCCAAACCCCCACTGATTTCTGGCCGCGCAGTAGACGCACGGCACGAACGTCTGGCAGCTGAAAGCATCTGCGGGACACGCGACGTAGGGCTTCGAGAATGTCTGGGCGTTGCCGCGTCTGCGCGGTCACATGCACGCCCCTCGCGCCCTCCCAGCGGCCGAAGGCCCTGGTGCCAGAGCCTGGCTCGACGCGCTCGATGAAGTTCCCCACTCGGTCCCAGGCCAGGCCAGCCCTAGCCGAACAAGTGCCCGCAAGGTCGTAGACGGCGCCGACGAAGGGCCTGACGTCCTGCAGATCACGTCGGCTCGGCGAATCTTGACCGCCACCTTTCCTCGAGCTGGATTGACAGACGCGACAGCCCCGAGGGCCGCCCAGACTGTCGCGCCCTTGGTGCTCGGAGGCCTGCGGGTCTTCGCCTGGTCGCACACGTTGAAGCGGCCCTCGCCAGACTCGCCGACGCGTGTCCGGAGGGCGCGGTTGACGCGGGAGATAGACGTGGCCTCAGTCACGCGCTGCATCACGATCTCCCCGACTCGCCACTGCACTCGGTCGGGCAGCACGCCCCCACAAGCAGAGGGATCGGCGCCAGCGACAAAGTCGCCGGACACCTCGCCCGATTCGCCTGCCTCCAGCGGCGGGAGCATAGCCGGCTGCCTCCCGAAGACGACGCGCGACGCCGCTGACATGGGCGAGGCTGCTGAAATGGCGCGAGCAAGCATAGAATCGAAACTAGCACAATACACTCCTCGCGCTCTAGATGCCCCTCTGCAGGGCGGAGCGCACGTCGTAGAATAGCACCGCGTCGCTCGATAAAGCTAGCGCGCTGTCGCAGGGCACGAATATCCACCTGGACTCCTCGCCTTCCATTTCCTCCACGAAGTAGGTAGAGGTCACGTCGCCCTCTCCGCCCGCGACGCCCGTCTCCATCGCACCCAAGTTTGGGCCCATGATCGGCCGATGGCTGAAAGCAGCGTCGCGTCGCGCTCGCACTTCGATATCCCGGGCGCTGCGCCAACGCGAGGCGCAGCAGATCAGATTCATGATCACGCGACGTCGCGCTCGACGTGCTGGTTGACTCGCGTGGAGAGTCGGAGCGCAGGGGTCGTTTGGCGCGCTGTCGGTTGCCACTGGCGGTCTTTCCTATAGTTGATTACCACTGCGGGCATGAGGTCGAGAATGTCCTAGGGAATGTTGGCCGCGCGTAGTGCCCGTGCCATTTCCTCCTTAGTTGCGCGCCACCACCAGAAGTGCAATTTGCACACTTCTCGCATGCGCGTCTCATGCGAGTCCCCACGTAGTGCTCGCAGTGACGCAGCGACGTCGAAGCGAGTCCAATCGGGGGGGGTCGGATTGCCAACCGATGCGTCGGTGGCCCGCGGTGCCGTTCGTCCTGGCACGTCCCCTGCAACTGGGCTGGCGCGCGGCCCCGGCCT